GACCTCCCTCCTATATACCATTTCATAAAATATGTATTTTACTAGATGGTAGACAGAAAGGAGGTCGGACTCTATGAGAGAAAAAAAGCTTATAGATGAAAAATCAGAGGTATCAATATGGCTGGTCGCCCCCCCCCCGTCCTAGCATCCCGCGAGTCTCCTCGTGCCTGGCGCATGATCATACTTCCAGTATCGTTTAATAGAAAACTGACTCGCGGCACAGTCGTTTTCGCGCTACTTCTGTCATACTATATCAATGGGTCTTTAATGACTATAATAGCAGTCTCACCGTTTTATCATTACTTTATTTCGTTGTTCGCATATTCTGTAATACGTTCTTCAATGTCAGGACGTGTTTCTCTTGGACGCGGTTATACATTATATCCAGTTTCCAGAACCATGTCCTGATATTGAAGAACGTATTTCAAGAATTTGCGAACAACGAAATAAAGTAATGATAAAACGATGAGAGTGCTAGTAAAGATATTAAAGGCTTATTAACATGGTATAACAGAAGTAGCGCGAATACGACTGTGTCGCGAGTCAGTTTTCTATCAAACGATACTGGAAGTATGATCATGTGCCAGGCAGGAGGAGACCCGCGGGATGCTAAGACGGGGGAGGTCGCGACACAGTCGTTTTCTCGCTACTTCTGTCATACTACTAATGAGTCTTTAATATCTTTAATGGCATTCTCACCGGTTATCATTTCGTAGAACTAGTATTCTACTAGATGATAAACGGTGAGAGTGCTATCAAATACATTAAAGACTCATTGATATAGTATGACAGAAGTAGCGAGAAACGACTGTGTCGCGACCTTCCCTGTCTTAGCATCCCGCGGGCCTCCTCCTGCCTGGCGCATGATCATACTTCCATTATCGTTTAATAGAAACTGACTCGCGGCACAGCCGTTTTCGCGCTACTTCTGTCATACCATGTTAATAAGCCTTTAATATCTTTACTAGCACTCTCACCGTTTTATCATTACTTTATTTCGTTGTTTGCAAATTCTTGAAAA